AAAGCGATTCTAGAGAGAGAAAGGGTCGAAAAAGCGGTTCCTGTTTGGATTGAAAAGCTTGATATTTGAGAGGCCCAAATTGAGTCCACGTCGGAAGAAAGAAAACCACGGTGTTATCAAAGTGCGTCCTGCCTACCCATTCTAGAGAGAAACCGTAATTGTCTGAGTTTAGAAAGAGAAACAGTTCCTTACTGGTCTGTGTCCTAAGGTTGTTCATTATTTAGAGAGAGAGAGTGTGTTACTCATCAGTGTTTAAACTTCATAGAGAGAAGTTATTTTTGAGATAGAGAGCGAGAGGCTCTTGCTGGTCTGTGTTTTAAGGTCGTTGAAGAGAGAGAGAGAGAGCGTGAGGACCGATTTGGGGATGTCGGGTGCGGTTATGTGGGTGATTTCTCCCACAGATAATGGGAGATCAATGGTGAAATTGAAGGGAATTTCAGGAAAAAGAATCAGGAGAAATGTCTCAAAAATGAAACACTTAAATGGGTTTCAGGTTTTTTCGAGTATGGTTGCCCACACACCAAGTGGTGCAGTTTTCACACGATCAGAACAGAAGGTGTATGATGTGGTTTTGAAGCAAGCTGCTCTAGTGAGAGAAAAGAGGATCTCTGATCTAGTTTTCGATGTGAAACCAGGCAAGGCCATGCCTGCTTCCTTGGACCTCCTCAATGGCGCTTATGATCGGTGCGGCGAGGTTTGTGCAGAGTATGCCAAGACTTTTTACTTGGGTATTGCTCTCTTTCTCTCTCTAGGATTGTTCTCTCTCCTCTCTCTCTCTCCAGGATTGCTTCCGCTCTTGCTGTTGAGTTTCTTTCAGGTTATGGACTTCTCTCTCTCTCTATCTTGGTTAACTGGGGGCAATCCACTCTCTCTGTCTCCCCTTTCTCTCTCTTCCCATTCCAGTCTCTCCTGGATTTGGTTATTTATGGATAGATATTAAGGATTTTTAACTGTGATTTCATAACACCAAGTAGTCAGATGTGAAATCAGATGTCTTTCTCGATATGGATTTTGATGGAAGTCAGTAGGGCACCCCATCTACTTGATTTCACATCTGTAACTCTTTATCAGATGGAATTCCATGTATGTTGCCTAAATTATATGAGAGAGAGAGAGAGAGAGAGTTTTTATACTATTTTTTTAGAGAGAGAGGGTGTTTTCTGTATTTGTATTTGTTTGTCTAGAGCGAGAGGGTGTTTCTATACTTGTTTGTTCTAGAGAGAGAGGGTGTTTCTGTATTTGTTTGTTCTAGAGAGAGAGAGGGTGTTTCTGTACTCGTTTGTTCTAGAGAGAGAGTGTGTGTTTATCTAGAGAGAGAGAGGGTGTTGATGCTGTAGATTGGGCCATTTCATTGTGCATTTTATACGTGGAAGCATTTATGAAAAGTAATATGATTTATGATATCCATTTGTTGCAGGGACGCTGCTTATGACCCCGCAAAGACAAAGGGCTATATGGGCTATTTATGGTATACACCTTAATGTCCTACTCCTACCTTCTTTTTTTTTTCCCTTTAAATCATGGGATTGCATATTACGAGGCCATTTATATTTTTTTTTGTAACTTTTAGTCGTTGGATGTGAAATCCATCGGTGAAAATGTGTCCTAAATATTTTATTTTGAATTTTATACCTAATGACATATCTTCAACTACCCGATTCCAAATCTAATGGTTAATAATGATGCATAAAACTAAATAATCTTATACTTGAGATTTCTCTTATGCATATGATATGTAATTAGATGATTTGGTTAACTTGTCCATCATTTGTTAACTTGTAGGACACTTTTTATGAAATTTAAAAACTTAGCAAATAACATTATACGAATTATACATATGTGTGGATTTTATGTTACAGAGATATTTTGTAAGCTTCCGACTCAAATACGAGTGTTAAAGTGTCGATCCTAAAATTGACTTTGACACATCCATACCTCAATAAAATAAAAGGGAGATGATAATTTAAGAGACATTAAATTACATTTTATTGAGTTTAAGAACACACTTCGATGCGGGAATAGAAATCATGATTTTTAGGATCCTACTAGGATTGTGTACTTCACGATTTTCCGACCCTTGGTTGTACCACGTGGATTTGTCCTTTTTAACCTGCTCCGCTAACCTTATTCGCCTTCCAAATTCCCATCTCTTTTCCTAAACTCTTGTGAAGGAGAGAACATTGAGAGCAAGCGGGACTCTCCTTAAATGGAAGTTTTTTTTTTTTTAGATAAGTAAATGAGGGAGAAGACCTCCTACATGTTTTTTTATTGATACCATAAAATAAAAAAGATTACAGCTCATTTATTTACAATCCTTGAACAAATCACCTGTGATAAATCATGAAGTAAATCCAGATAAATATAATCTTTAAATGGAGGTTCGACTAAATAGAAATCACTTCTCTATAAAAAACCGGTATCTCTCTTATACTAACCTCTGCCTCTATGTGTATGAGGCTCCAACATTTTCCTAAATTAATCTACCTTTCCTCATTCTGGGACCCCAACCTAGGGACTCAAAGGTTAGTATGGGAAAAGTTTATATAGAGCCGAGGCTCTAAACAATCAAATTAGAGCTTACCTCAAAACTTACTAGAAGATGTAGTTTTGATGCCTAAATATCCTTAAATTGCTCATCTCGACATCAAGATACATGAACATGAGAAAAAAAAAAAAAAGATTACGAGTTTTAGAAATAGTGTATTTTGTAACGCATTTTGGACCGTCAATTTTCAAGATTTTCAATTTTTCATAGATATGTCGATCTCCACTATTTTTAAGCTTTAAACTTTATAAATAAAGATGAAAATATATTTTAAGGCTATCTCAAAGATTTTCAGTATTCAAACCGAATTTCTCAATACTATTTGAAGTAGGCTCTAATTTGATTGTTTAGAGCCTAGGCTCTATACAAACCACCCAATATATAAAGGCATTGAATCAATGTTGAGCTCTTGGTAAGAATGGGGAATCGTATCGATTCCTAGAGAACTGGAATTTTTTAATTTTTTTATTGATCGAATAGTTGATCCAGGTTGGCGACTAGACGATCCGGATCAGTTTTCAAGATGGTCGGTTTACCTCGACGATTAGTGTTTTAAAACAATGCTTTATATAGATGTTTTCTGAACTCAGAGTTTGATCCTGTCTTTCCTGTATTAAGAGATAATTCATTTATAAATCCTAATTTTTAGTAACTTTCATTTATAAATCCTGTACAGTTTGGTAACGGGCTGGGCTTGGCCATAGCCCGGCCTTGTTCCTAGAAAGTTGGCCCATACCCGGTCTAGCACACCTCAACCTACACTGGGCCAAAGAGGCCCAGCCCTGGCCTTGGCCCTAACAAGGGTGGGCCGGGCAAGACTGGGCAATATTAATAAAGAACAAAATAAAACAAATAATATAAGACCAGGCTGGCCAAACCAGGTTGGGCCTATCATGGACCAGCCTTGCCCTCATGCTACATTATATGGCCTAGAACCTAGTTTTCTCGGGTAGTGACGACCGGTCGCGTACAATGATATCCCACAATCAAACATTTGCCTAAGGTCAAGGGCTCACATAATAAATGGATGTAAATTACACGGACATGCAAAAAAAAATCAACTAAATATGTAGATCTTTAAACACTTATTTTTAGGGAGAAATAGACGGTCTAGACAATTTGTTAAAATATACATTATTTTTAGAGCTTGAAATCCTAATACTTTTTTAACAACTATAATGTTGAAGCCGAGATGTAAAGATTTTCCAATGCTTGAATTATAATTTTCAATGAGTTATGAGGTGAGGATTTCTTGGTAGGGCTAGAGCCCTATCAAACTATTTTCCTATAAATTGCAATGTACTAGAGATAACAAAATCTATGAGAAGAAAACAAAAAAGAGCATTTTTGGTTCTTTGTTCTCCTTTATTTTAGGTTTTGTGTAATGGTCATTCTCTCAAAGATGAACATTGAGAGAAGTAAAGAATTCCTATTTATTCAATCAATTCAAAAGCAAAAAGGAATCTATTATACTTAATTTGGTATCTTATTCTTAAGTGGGATATCAAATGTTCAAAGTTCAAACCTTGAATTTCTTCACCATGAAAGCTAAAAAGAAATAAAGAAGGGGAAAAAAAATAGTAATAATCTATTATTTCTTGCATCCAGACACATGTTAGATATGTCAAAATTAACTTAGAAAAAAAAGTTGATACTAGTATGGACTTTTGACACGATTTATTGTTTGTGAATGCTGTAACAAGGTTGTGTACCATGTTTTAGTATGGTGTAGGAGGACAGATGAACTTGTGGACGGCCCAAATGCTTCGCACATTACACCAACGGCTCTGGATCGATGGGAGAGAAGATTAAATGATCTCTTTCGAGGCCGGCCCTACGATATGTTTGATGCAGCTCTTTCAGATACAGTCTCCAAGTTCCCAGTGGATATCCAGGTAAATTTTTTGTGTTAATGCATGTTCGTGTAATTGCACATCCATGCACATCTTTCTATGTAGAATTGTGCATTTTTGGTGCTTTCTCTCAATTTCAATGCTCTCAATATATATTCATTCCTCCCTCTGTTGAGCAAGCTGATATGAGAGTCCCTTGAGCCTAGTGATGCCTTTCAATCAAAGTCCCTGAACAAAATATTATCAGATTTTCTTCTCTTCCTCGAAATGGCTGAAGTCTTTGGGTTCTGGCTTTAAACCGAAGCGAAGCGAATCGAATCGAATCATTTACTGATTAAAACGATTGTATCAAAAAAATCTTCAAATCTCCTCCCAACACATAAAAGTAATCATAGAAGATATAGAAGGAAAATATTTATATAAGTTTGACAACTTAAATTGTAGAATTAAAGTACACCTCAAAAATCTAATGAAAAGGGTTATTTTAATGTTGGAAATCATCTAATTGATCATCTCGATCAAGATGTAGGAATATGAAAAAAAAAAAAAGAATTTCAAATCTAGAAAATAGTATATCTTGCAACATATTATCTGGACCAGCTATTTTCAAGATTTTCATGCACTTATGGATCTGCTTGATTTGAACTATTTTTAGAGTTTAAAATTTTATAATTAGAATGAAAATACTCTCGGGCCATCCTAAAATATTTTGAAACCAAAATTGCATTTAATTATGGTGTCTTTCCAGCAAAGTGACCCTACTTATCTCTCTCACCATATATTCATATACAAGTTTTATTCACTTTATTTTTTATTTCACAAGAAATTTTTTTTTGAAAAATTTCTCTCTTTTGAATCAATTGTACAGCCATTCAAAGACATGATAGAAGGCATGAGAATGGACTTGAGGACGTCAAGATACAAGAACTTTGATGAGCTCTACCTCTACTGTTATTACGTTGCCGGAACGGTCGGGTTGATGAGCGTTCCGGTTATGGGAATTGCAGCGGATTCCAATACATCAACGGAGAGTGTCTATAATGCCGCATTGGCCTTGGGAATAGCCAATCAGCTCACCAACATACTGAGAGACGTAGGAGAAGAGTAAGTTCTTCTGGACCATTAACTTATATTCAATAAAAAAGAGAGCCTTAAAAATACTCCTAGATAGGTTTTACTTGAGGAAGTGAATTGAGGCCACATACTTTCACTGAAGGGTATATTCTTTTGGAATTTATTTGAGCATGAAATGAAATAGATAAGGAGTGAGAATATTCATTTCAATTTAAAAGTATTTTTATTGTCTCGGTAAGACGGTATTAATTATTAAAAAAAAAAAAGTATACAATAATCCCGTTTATTTTTTGTACAAGAAGGTCATGACCAACTGGAACGGTGAAACGTCAAATGTCGCAGTTGGAAGCATACTATTGACCATACTCAAAGTTCAAAATATTTTTTTCAAAATTTATGACATACTCTTGGGTCCTGGCCGCACGATTTTGCATTTGGCATCTAAAAGTAATTGTTACCATCTGGTACTGGTACTGAAAACAGGTCCAGTATTAAATATCATCGGATAAAAAATCATTCATTCGTGTGTGGATCTGCAACTTTTCTTCTTCTTTCATGAAAAGTTTGTATTAGATTGCCATCTTTTCCTATTTTGGATAGAGATAAGGCTAGCACTAAATCGTTTTTCTCCTTTGATTTTTCTCTTTTCTAGTGCTAGAAGAGGAAGAATATACCTCCCACAAGATGAGTTGGGACGTGCGGGGCTATCAGATGATGACATTTTTGCCGGAAAAGTGACAGAGAAGTGGAGAAATTTCATGAAGGAGCAAATAAAGAGGGCAAGGATGTTCTTTGATGAAGCTGAGAAGGGAGTGGTGGATCTAAATCCTGCAAGTAGATGGCCGGTAAGATGAATGCTTTATTCTCGGCCATATACTGGTGTTTAATTCTTGATTCTAACTAGAAACTTCCACTAAACAAACATGCCCTTCGTTTTTGTTCATCCTAAATCCCATATTCACACACAATACCATTAACTATTATTACAATGATTTCATCCTATAAGATGTCAAACTCGATAGTTCGGGGTGTGCCACGAAGTTTGAAAATTTTTTAATTTTTTTTTTTATCTTTGAACCTAGTTAATGAAAGACAACTACCTAATTAAAATGTGACAGACCAAAATAACTGTGACCTTTTTATATTAAAAGTAAATAGTCACTTTGTATACTTTTTTTTTTTTTGGTTATAATAAGGTCCAAAATACTAAATTTCAATAATGGGTGATGCTATTTATTAATCATAGACAGCATTTAGGAAATTATTTGAATGGTGTAAGGACATACCTGAATAGTGTCTTCCTTCACTCTTTTGGGGACTTGGAGCTATTCATTGACCCTAGATCTGACATAAACGTCCTTTAGGCCCGACAAAGAAGGCTCTGAATATTTTTAGAAGGGTGTGGCAAATATTAGGTTAAGGCCCTTAACAATCAAAGTAAGGCGCACATTCAAATAGTGTTGAAGGATGCCGTTTCAATACTTCAAATCTTTGTGATGGTCTGAAACTTTATTTTCGTATCTAATTATAAAATTCCCCCACTGACTTTTCCAAAAAAAAATGACTCTGATATAAAATTTAAAGTTTAAAAAATAGTGTAGATGAAGTAGATTATGAACATTTGAAAATCTTGAAAATTGACGGTCCAAAAATACATTATAAGGTGCACTATTATTTAGACTTGAAATCTATTTTCCTCATATCCATACATCTTGAGGTCGAGATAATGATTTTTAGGCATCGAAACAACCTCTTTTAATGAATTTTTCCGATACATTTGAATTTAATTATTTAGGCCTTGCCCCTATATAAACCTTTTCTTGGCATTTTTGACAAGAGAGAGTCTAGTGAATATGGGTATTCATTCTTGTATTTTTGACAACATAGAAAGTCTAGTGAATATGGGTATTGATTTTGGATGGAAAATGGGTATTAGATAAAGACCTTAGGGAGATTTGTTTAATCTCAAAAATTTTGGATTGTCTCATCATCATTAGGTAAAAACCTAAAAAAACACGAATTTGAGTTCTCAGAAGGTAAGAGCTTGTCTGCCAATGATTGGAGGGCATGTACTTATTGAGTCCAAAAGTACTATTTTCCATTAAAAAACAAGATAATAAACTTCTTCATCAGGGCTTTGAAAAAGTGCATATCAAGCTTGGGGGTGAAATAAGCATCCCTAAGTGCCCCAAAATGAGGGAAGGCTTACCAATATAGTTGTTCACCCATGATTGACCTAGGCCAATGCCCAAAATTTTACCAAAAGTCTTCAAGCAATATCTCGTTTTTAATTTGTAATTAATGGTAAGTATCCTAGCAATTGAGTAATAGTAGGAGTAGAGACAAAGAAGTAGTTAAGATTGATGACCAGGAAATACCAAAAAGATCGTACTTTCAATATCTTGGGTTGATAATCTAGAAAAATGGAGAGATTGAGGAGATGTCGCGTATAGAATTAGAACTGGGTGGACGAAGTGAAGATATGCAACCAGAATTTTATATGATCGCCGCACACCAATGAAGCTAAAGGGCAAGTTGATTACTATGAGACCAACTTTGCTCTACGAGGCAGAATGTTAGGCAGTAAAAAAACAATATACCTATAGAACGAGTGATGTAGAGATGAGGATGTTGAGATGGATGAATGACAAGACAAGAAGTGATAGAATTTGAAATAAATATATTCGAAAAAATTTAAATGTGGCACCAATAGGCGATAAGATGAAAGAAATAGTAGACTTAACTAGGCTGGCTATGTGTGGTACAGACTCAGTACAACACTTATTAAGAGATACGAGTTAGTTCAAGTGGAAGGTTAAAAAGAAACAAGAAAAGACCCAAAAAGACATGATCGAAATACTGAGAAAATATATGAGGATTTAAGCTTCAATGAGGATATTACATTTAATAGAGAAAAATGGTCGATTAGGATTCGTATAGCAGACCCTAATTAATTGGAAAAATGACTTGATAATGACGACCCTGTCAATTAATAGATTTTATTGATGGTCACTCGTATCAAATGCTTAATCTTATCTCACAAAGTTCCCATTGCATAATAATTTTCATTTATGCATTTATTATTTTGCAAAATTTACTCATAATAGTCGTTAGGGAATCTTTCCACTCATTTATTGTTTATTTGTAAGCCTAATGTCTATTGGCACGTGTGGCTATAAAGCATAGTGCTGCCATTCCTTTTTTCATGCATGGAAAATATTTATTGCTTGTTTATTAAAGTTTTTCCTCAAATAAATATTATACATGTAATTAATTATTTTCTTAGTACTTTTTGTCCAAATGGTAAAAGTTCTTGGAAGGACAAGCACATCCCTAGCTTTTGAGACGGCCATTTCCTATAGACCCGGTGAGAGAATAGGAATGTTGGACTCCCAATTTTCCTCATAAAAGGGAGGTTAGAGAAAGGTCTTTGTGCAGTGAAAAATCACATAGCCTTCTAAGCTTTATGATAACTTAATTTTATTTAAAAATCTCCGAAATAAAAATCCAGACTCTGAGATCATTAGCCTCATAGCAATCCCTCATCATCGCATTCAGTATTCGCTATATCAATTTTTTTCTCTTTCTTTGTGATGTTAACCTAATTTATTGATCTTTTTTGCAGGTTTGGGCCTCTTTGTTGATATATCGTCAAATATTAGATGCAATTGAAGATAATGACTACAACAATTTCACTAAGCGTGCATATGTTCGGAAATTGAAGAAGATTGCTTCATTGCCGGTTGCTTATGGTAAAACTCTCATGAGAAAGCCGAGGACTCGTAGCATATAGGTTAAAAGTTTGGTAAAATTATTTATTTTTGTTGTAGAATATGAACTAGTTAAAGGGCAAAAAAATGGTGCAAAATGTTGAAAGTCAGTTTTGTGGGTATTATTATTTTAAGGGAAATTTTATTAAAGGAGGTGAAATCCCTTAAAATATAATTAAAAAGGTTAAATTATTCGTACTAACTTTTTAGGATATGCTTTTTCTTTTCTATTTAACTTAGTTATCTCTTTAAATTTTTTTTTTTTAAATATCCAAATTATCCTTGTTTTGTACTTGGAACGAGAAAAAATGATAGGCATTTTAGTAATCTGATCCTCACGAGGCTTCACTCAAATGACAAAAACACTCAAGTTGTTATGCATTACAAATAAAGGACGGTTTGTTTAGTATTTGTAATGTGAGACTGTTACGGGTATTTTCATCGTCCTACACTTAAATGTTTTGTATGTATAAAATATTTAAAATACCCCTAATTGTTCGGCATTATTAATACATAACAATGTATTCTTTGTTTATAATGAAAAATAAGTAGGGGCAGTGGTTTAAAAAACGGATTGGTGAGTTGGATTGAGCACCCTAAAAATCCATCCGGATCAGTGAATCGATAATCCGGATCGAAAATCGGCCAAATCGGTTGGATTAAGCTTTAAAAAAATCTAAAAAAATTATTAAAAATTATTATAAATGTTGTTTTTTAATAATCCAATAAGAAATCAAGATACTACATCATTAATTTTCATTTTTTTCATCAATATGTGAGTATTTAGTTTTTTTTCTCTATATGAACTTATTTTGACAAAAATACTTGTTGTATTTTTGAAAAAAATAAGAAATGAGTTTTCTTGACAAAAATATGAACTTATTTAAACAAAAATAAGAAATGAGTTTTTTTGACAAAAATACTTGTAATTTTTTTTATAAGAAATTTTTATTTTTTTGACAATAACCTTTTATTTTGTATTTTTTTTGACAAAAACCTTTTATTTTTTTTGACAAGAAAAAGAATTGATAAGAAACTTTCAGTTTTTTTATAAGAAAATTTTTATTTTGTAGGTAAAAAAAAACAAATTGACAAAAACCTAAATTGATAAAAGCCTTTTATTTTTAATTTTTAGAAAAAGACTTTAATTTTTTTATAAGAAAAAACTTGACAAAATTTTTTATATTTTTTATACGAAACTTTTTATTTTATTGATAAGAAAAAAATTTGACAAAAAGCGAAATTGATAAAAACCTTTTTTTTTGGATAAGAACATAATTTGACAAAAAAAAAGAGGAAAAAAAACCCAACTAAGGAATCAAACACGTGTCCGTGCGCAACAACCGGTAGGGCACTTGCAACTTCGTGTTTATAAAACAGTTAGCAAAATATATTATATATGAACATTTTAAGGTATTATTTATTTACGTAGCCCACATCAAAGTGAGAGAAGCAAAATTTATATACATAAAAAGTTCTTTGTACTCATTCTGGATAGCACGTGTGAAGCAATGAAATTACACGAAGCATGTGGATTGTGAGCACACGTGCGTGAAGAACTTAGGGCACGAGGTCCTTACTTAGGGCCGCGCGAAGCGTGCGGGGGGTCCTTTTGCCTAGAAATTCCCTGAATTTTATGAAAATGCTCTTGACTGCGGGTCCTATGAATGTTACGAAAATGCCTGCAGTCAATTTTATGAAAAATGCCCTCGATTGCGGGTATGCCTGCGATTTACTATGCAGAATCGCCCGTCGACCTGCAGAAAGGAACCGGGGGGGGGGGTCCTTTTGCTTAGAAATTCCCTGAATTTTACGAAAAATGCCCTTGACTGCGGGTTCTGTGCGAAACAGGCAATTCTGCAAAAGAACCAACACGGGATGACCGAGTTAAGGAACTGGGCGATTCCCAACTTTACAAAAGAACTGACACGGGATGACTGAGTCTCGATTCGAATCGGCTAGTTTACAAAAGAGGATGACTGATTCTCGATTCGAATCGGCTGATTCTATGCCGACTCGACGACCGACTCGACGATTTTAAAATACTGAGTAGGGGTATGTTCATTATTTAGATGAGGCCTCATGAGGTATCTTCCTTATTTAGATGAGGCCTCATGAGGGTCAAATTACTAAAATATCTGTCATTATTCCTCATGCCAAATATTGGACAAGAGTAACTTGGGTATTTTTAAAAGAATTGAAGGTAAATGAATGAAATGAAAAAGGTAAATGAATGAAATGAAAAAGGAAAAACATGTCCTCAAATGTTAGTAGGAATAATTTGACCCCTTAAATGATATGTTAAGAAGTTTCATCCTCTCCAATGATTTCAAAGTTGAGAGTAAACAGAAGATTGAAAGTATATGAATGAAATGAAAAAGGAAAAACATGTCCTCAAATGCTCAAATGTTAGTAGGAATAATTTGACCCCTTAAATGATATGTCAAGAAGTTTCATCCTCTCTAATGATATTTTCCCTTACTTTTAACATTTGGTAGAAAAGTTTGTTGAGCCACCTTGTTTTGGGTTTCTTCAAAGGAGAGAGTAAACATAAGATTGAATATTAAACAAATTAAAAATTCAAAATAAATTAATATTAGTATGAAAGGTAGAAGAAAGAGGAAAAACAAAATATAAATGAAAAGACAAATCAAGAAAATACAAATCGGGCCTTTTTTAATCTAAAAAATGAAAAAAATTGGAAACACCTAGAGAGACTGTGGGAAACAAATTTCATGTGTATAAGAGTAGAAACATGAAGAAATATGTGAATATGATCTGACGCTATGACCATTGAATATTTAATCAGGGAGCAAAAAAAATTTATAGAAAAAAGTTAATCTAGGGAATGTATACTATGTTCCTTGTGCTTAGATGAAAAAGTAACAAAATAGGCGATTTTATTTTTAAGGAAAGTTACTTCATTTTATTATCAAAATGAGAGTAAAAGCACATAAAAGTTTTCTCTATAAACATGTTTAAACAAAAACCTAAGCTCTCCACATATATCAAGTATCTTAAACATCAACAATCTCAACTTTCCACTTCACCATACATCATTTGATAAATATCAAAGAAGTCCCTAGCTGCAATAATCATAGAGCAAGTATTGATGCTAATCTCGCACTAAGAGCAATTTAGGATAATATCTCTTTAAATTACCATGTGTGGCGCAGATCCAATACAACACCGGTTAGGAGGTGTGAGTTAGTTTAAGTGGAAGGCTAAAAAGAGGCTAAGAATGAGGCCAAAAAGACATGATTGGAAGTCGTGAGAAAATATACGGGACTTATGGCTTTATTGAGGGCATGTCCCTCAATAGAGCCGAATGACGAACCAAAATTTGTGTAACGGACCCCAATTAATTGGAAAAAAACTTTGATGGTGATAATGATAATCCCTCTGAATTACCAATATTTAAGAATTCATCCTAAAAAGTTGAATTTTCAGCCTCTTTAAAGATGCAAAAAGGCATTTGCTCGGTTTCGTGTGTTTTACGAAAAAAAGTAAAGCTTCACCTCAAAACTTGGCTGGGACGAATAATTTGGACACCATTATCCCCAAAATAGTGAGAAAATATACTTCCCTTCGTTATTGTGAAACTTGAAGGTCCAAAATGGTGATTATCTGATGAGTAAATATTCAAAAGTGGACGGCTTAGGCAATTACGTCACATTGGTTTAGATGTTGCAGTGCTTTTTCAGATCCATATGTTTGTACAAAAAAAAAAAAAAAGAAAAAAAGAAAAGAAAAGAGGAGATGATCAATCTCATGTTTTCTGAGCGGTAATTCCACTCTCGGCTAAATTTAAGTCAGGGTTTTTACTTTGTTCTTGACGGAGCACACTGTGCATCTACTCCCTCACTTAAAAGACCTACTTGGGAGACGTTTTCTTAGTCTGAAATTTTGTGAACTACCTAAGAATCACTTATTTTAAAATTTTTTAAATACTGAATTTCTTTTGACAATTAGATCTGGCCTCAAAAAATTAGATGGTCCAAGTTCAATATTAAAACATTACTTTTTTCTAGTAAGAGTTTAAATTTTTATTATTATTATTTTTAATAAGATTAATCCATGGAGTGATTTATTACGTCCCCAAAATTTTGGCTTCTAAAATTACGCCTCCAATGGGTTTTACCTGAGGGAGTAAATAAACAGTAGGATAAAATCTTTAGTCAAATTTGAAAGCCGTAGCCGTTCACGAACCTTCCATTTGCACGATTTATTTCGGAAAGAAAATGGGATCCGCAATATTCAGTTTTCGTTAGATTTCTGTCCGAAACTTTGTAACTATTGTCAAGTCAGCTCCTTCTTGCAAGTGCTGTATAGGCGTTATACGTGTCAGTCTAAAACCCTATAAAACGCAAACGGTGAAGTTCCCCCCTGCCCTTTATTTAAATTTCAAAATTGTAGCCAGAGAGAGAGAGAGAGAGAGAGAGAGTAGTTCAAAAATCTAGAAAGAGAAACAAAAAGTTTTGAAGAACGTTGTAGAGAGAGAAACCATGGATGGCAAAGGGGAGCGGCTTTGGCCTGTTCTCTTCTCTCCTCGTTCTTTTGATTACAACTTTTTTGCGATCTCTCTCTCTACATCTCTGTTTTTGACATGACCGCTCTCTCTCTCTCTCCTCGTTTTTTGAAAAGAAGAAAATTCATTGAGAAAAGGCCCTTCGCTTTTTGCCGTCTCCTGTTGTTCTCAACTTTACACTGAAGCCCCTGCAACTGATTTCTAGTCATCTTCTCTTTGATCATTCAATGGAAATTAGGGTTCTTTGTTAATTTCATTACTTTTCTTCATTTTTCTGTGAGTTAATTGGAAAATGGGGTGTTTTTTTGGTTGCTTTCGTGCTAAAGAAGATGATCGCCCCCGTGGCCACCTCATATCAGAAGCTGTATCATCAAAAAGCAGGGTAAGCTTCTTATCTTTCTTTTGCAGTTTTCTGATTTTTTTGAACCGTAGTGTCATTTGGAATATGTTTGGTGGTTTCTAATCAGTAATGCATTTTTATAGGAAGAAATTTGGAGTTTAGATCAAGAAAATTTAGGTATTATGAAGTTTCCTCGTTTGATCATAGTTTCTTTCATTTTTTCCGGTTTAATTGTGAATTTTACTCCCCTTTTGAATCAATTTGTCTCTCTACTTGTTTATATCGGAGTGTTGTTTCAATTTTTGAGTATTTGATTTCTACATTGATCATGAATTTCTTCGACATGGCTCGATTTTGTGATTCTTTAAGCATTTTTTGTCTGTCTGAGTGCTCTCTCTCTCTAGACCTACATGTACTTGTCTGTGGCGCAGAGGGGGGAGGGGGAGGGGGAGGGGGGAGGGGGGAGGGGAGGGAGAGGGAGAGGGAGAGGGAGAGGGAGAGGGAGAGATGCTTTGTGTTTTGATTGAATTATCAATATCATTATTATTGGTAGCTGCGATAATTTTGGGTTCACCTTTTGTCAGGATCATTTGGTATCACAAAACCCAATTTCATCTGCTTTTATCTACAGCTCAGAAAACAATAAGGTTGACCTTTCTTTGGCAAAGGAAGGTAATGCCCATGGCCCTAATTTGGTTGCCATTTTTTGTAGTTAAACTAAGATGTAACCTACTTTATAGTGAAGATGTGATAAATATGGTGACCCTTGTTTGTAAAAAGTGTTGATGTTTAGTAGAATGTAGATTGAATGTCTGAACTTTTCATGTTTTTCTCTAGGGAAAAGTTCTCCTGGCAAGGATCCTGTAATCTCAAGCGGGAATTCTAAAGGAAATAATGTTGCTGAATCTGATGATGATTTGGAGCTCAGAAATGAGGTGTGTAACTGAACACTTCATTGACTCAGTTTTATAGTTGAGAATGAAAATTTGAGAAAATTGGGAACAACAATCTTGCTTCTGTATTCTTTTCATTGGGATGGAATTTCATATTATGGAGTCAAGGGCTGTTGTTGATTTTCATTTCTTCAACACTATTTGTTATTTTATTTTTTTATGTTTTTCTCTGGAACAAAATTGGCATCTCCTTTTTTGGACTGGATCCCATGAAGAAGAGTGAAAATATCTCTTTATTTGTTCATGGAAGCCAGTGCTTCATATTGCCCGCAATGGACATTTAATGTTGCCTATTGTGGTTCCACTATTAATGTTTTGTCGTTTCGCAAATTGTATTGGCGTGCTTTCCATTTCTTACCATAAGTAATTTTCACAGTTATTGTGTGTGGACTTTATCTGAAATTCTGAATATTCATTCTTCAGTTGGGATATTCTGATTTACAATGGCGTTCATGTATTTTGGAGTTTGAATTATAATTTCTTTGGGATTGTATAGTACTCCGCTGGTAATTCTAACCTTTGTCACTTGGATAGAATTCATATCATGTTAGAAAACAAATAGTGCTTTGACAGCATGCTAAGAGCCATGAATCATCCAGCAAACAATTTCCTCCAAATATAATTTATATATAAAATGAAACAAACCAAGTGAAGTTCCATTTTAAATAATAGAATCATCATGTTATGAGGGGATTAGACTCAACATTTGACTTTTCTTTTCTTTTAATTTGGGGCGAAACTTTGAGTTGACTTTGTGCTATGTATTGAAGGATTTCAGATGAAGATGTAGTTTGGAATCGAGTGTTTCAAGGGGTAGGGAGATTAAACCTTAAGATGAAAATTTATATTGGTTTTCGGATGTTATCTAAAAGAAATCAAGAAAGAATATTAGTCTTACAAAGAAGAGACTAAATCAACAAATTCTAGAAATCTTAGGAACCTAGAAATCAAAATCTCTAGGGGCAATGATATTAATCCTAGATGAACTTTTGGTCTTTGGATATTAATCCCAGGAAGATTAAATAAACTGTTGGTCTTTGGAACAACTCTGAACTTTTGGTCTTTGGATATTAATGTTTTACATTTTGGCTCTATACCATAGTGCACTTGGTTGCTAGATGTCAACTAATTTTCATAGTGCTTGGTTGGTACGATACCTATTCTTTTGTGTCTTGTTTAGTTTATTGATTTTTTATCGAGAAATTTATTTTACGTGTTAACTCCATTCGAGAATAGTGACAAACTCTCCTTATTACTCTCTAAGTGGTGACTCAGACATTGTCTAGTGACAATTACTAAATTAAAATGGGTGCTATCACTTAAATCACATATTCATGGTATTTTTTGTATTTTTTAAAGTTATTAATAAATTTTTATTTACTGTATTGGGAGCAATGTGCCCCTCATTGAGGTCGATATCGCATTGATTCCACATCCTGCATGTGATTATGTTCATGCAAGGAGTTTCCTTGGCTATATGTTGGGCTCCTAGTCCAAATAAATTACATGTCCCGTTGAAGCTAAATATAATGTGGTGGATGAGTTCTTTAAGAAGAATGCATTGTTGAATGTGTTGAGCAATTAAAGTTCGCTGACCTTGCTCTCCTCTCTGTTTTCTGCTTATCAAATTAATTGCGTTTATATGTGTGTGCGTGTGTGTGTGTGTCTCTTTCACTCTTTCACCCAAAGTAGTTCTTGGTTGAGTTCGGAGCTAGAATGCTCAGATACATGGTACTATGGTCCATGTATCATCCGCTATAATCTTCACTGAACTAAGTGTATTACTAAATTTTCCATTTGGACATGCATTGGGCATTTATGCTGCAAAAGTGTCTAGTACATGTATTCACATGTCACCTGAATTGCGTCTTAGTCATACTAATGTAATGAAAAACTAGTACAATAAATTGTGCTTCTCCCCAAGCTCTTCTGTAGTAAATTGTGAACTGGTCTCACACGTGGCAAATATTTCTATGCACAAAAAAGAACGCTCTCTAATAATATCTTTGATGATCTCCGTAGTTGATTTAAGGGAGATGTTTGCTGCTTGCAAATCAGGCAGAAATTTTAGGTAAGGTCATTTTGGAGAATGAAAAGTGCCAAAACTTGACATCTGTATATACGCAGGATAATTTGGAATACAAGTTTAGTTCTTGGACATCCTTCCAAACACATTGTATATCCCCAACTATGTACAAATTGGTGTACGTGTAAGTTCAAAATGGTCATTATTAATAAGTACGTACATTACTCCAATATTTACGACATATCTTTGTTAAATATAAAAAATTTCCACTGTCATTTTGGAGCAAATGTTTTTTAATTGTTTATCCAATTAATGCACTCTCTAGGTCAAGTTCCTTAAGTCTTGTGGAGCACTATTGGAAACTCCCATGGAGATAAGGAAGGCATATTTGAAACCAAATGCTCAACCACATGCTGAGGATGCTGCTAATGAGTTCCATTCTTGGCTTCCTTCGTCATCATGCCGGCAACTCCATTGGGATGATCAGAATGACCAGTTCCCAACTTTCCACATTTCAGATTTATCTCCTTCACATAGTCCCAAAAGGTACTTGTTGATAGGCAGAGTTTGGAATCTCTTTTTTATTAAGTTGTGTAATTGAATGTGTCCGTTTCCCAACAACTTTTACCTTCATGATGCAGTTTAGAATCTCATTTGCATTAATTTGTATGAGATGCTTACTTGCCTATATGTATCAATAGATATTTAGATTAATGGGGAGTCTAACACTGGCTTGATTGGTTATGAACGCACACAATAAAAGGAAAAAGATTAATGGCATGCATATATGTGTCTGTTTCATATCTAATATGCATTGTGCATTTATATCATACACTCATTTCTATCTATGCGTGTATATATGTATTTATCATATCTTTACATTCTAATGTCTTTTCATGTATGTTTTGAGTAGCACATCTGACGAACAGAAGCTATCTGAAAGAAAGCTTAGAGGATCCCCTAGAGGCAGTGGGGTTCAGAGTATTTTGGATACTGTCATGCCTTCAAGAGAGTTTTCAACTATAAACTCAAAGTCTGATTCATTAACCAATCCTTCAACATCTCCCATTATACCTTCGGTTGGTGCTATGCAAACTAAGAACAGATCTGTGCGCTTTGCATGTGATGAAGTTTCTCCTGTTCTCTCGGATAAGGGGTCCATTTCTTCAGAAAATTCCCCATCCAAAAATAATGAGGTGTGGACCAAAAACTCATATTTTGAGGACCATAAGCAATCCCAACCTCAAATAGCCAACTATTCCCCTTATCCGACTCCTCTGAAACTGTCTGATGAGATGCAAACTCCAGGCACAGTTTTCCCAAATTCCCATAACAACCTCTTGATAAGCAAGAATGTGCGGATTCGTTCTCAATATGTCTATCCTGTTTTGAATCCTGTTGAGAATTTGACTCAGTGGATGACTCTTAAGGCTGATCCTAAATACCTTGTGTCTCAACCAGAGAAAGAGAGATCTAATTCTGAAAAGATGAAAATTCAGTCTCAAGGTAACAAAAGTGGATCCGTTGATAAACAATATGTAACTGAAGTCGAGAGACATGACAGTATAGAAAAGATAAGCGCCGAAAAGTTAGCTTCAAATGAAGAATTCAGCATTCAAAATGGCATGAGATGTGCTGAAGCTAGAAGTTCAGTAGAGTCAAGCTTGTCTGATTGGCTTAAGCCATCTCAGAACAATGGGTTGACTGTTGGTAATGGGAAACCGAATTCTGTGAAGAGTTCAGATAGTGATAGGCCTATCCTTGGAACTGTTGCAGCATTTTGGAATGACTGTGATGAGGTCCCCACTAGTGTTTCGCCCAAGTCATGGGATGGCAATGGGATTCCCAACTCGACGAACAAGTACAAGGAGGTAACTGTTATTTTTGTCACTGAACCTCTCTTTCTCTCTCTTGCATTGTTGCATTTGATGTTTCTAATTTGTAGTGTACACACTCTCTCCCTCTTATGTAGTTGTGTTGCATGTTCACTATGGTTTGGTTTTGTGCTCTCTCTCTCTCTCTACACACACACACACACACACACACACACACACATATATATATATATATATATATATATATATATATAGATATAGATATAGTTATGTTGCATTGTTGCATATGGTGTTTTGTATTGTTTAGTTCTTTCACCTCTGTCTCTGTTGTATGATGTGTGTTCTCTCTCTCTCTCTCTCTCTTGCATGTTGGGGTTTGTTGTTATTATCACACTATTGTTCATTACTTGGTCAACTTGTTTCTCAGGATCAGAAGGTGAGTTGGCATGCCACTCCATTTGAGGAGAGGTTGGAAAAGGCACTGTCTAATGAGAATCTTTATCCTCAAAGGTGAGCATAGAACTTCTCAGTCATGATTGTAGAATCTTTAATCTAGTGTGAGCATAGAACTTCTCACTCATGATTGTGGAATCTTTATCCTAGTGTTTGAAGCTTGTTTTGTCGACTCAGGAGTCGCCTGAGTCAAGTAGCCTCCGGACCCTAGCGAGTCGCTTGTAATTATTGTGAGGCTCTCCTGAGCTATCACTTTTTGGCACATTTAATGTTTTTTCTCAATAAATTTGGCCGAGTTTTAATGAGACTCAGCTGAGTTGACCTGCCTGACTCAGGCTCAGGATCCTTGCTGTCCTGAACCAAGTCATGATATTTTTCTATATCACTTAGCAGAAAAAGATAATTTTGATCTTTCTTTCCTCCATACATAGGTTATTCTCTGAAATTTTGAATATTAACACTTCCAATATTTGCTGGAAGCTTGGTTTCTACTAAAATGTTATGCTTGTTTATTCTTCAACAATGAATGAAAAATGATTTCATGGGATGTTTTTTTTTGGCCTCTATGTTTCTGATAATTTTAGTGCCTAGAATGAGATTTGAAAGATGGTTTCCTCACTTAATTTTCTATTTGGTGGACATCTTTGAACAGGAAACTCATGAACTTTGAAGAGGGCGAGGAATATGACACTGCTGCCTCATGAGGACTCATCTTTGCCCCATTTTTAATCTGTGTTGTAATAGGGCCTCCAGAGTTTGAGCTTGTGATGGGTTTCTTATTCTTCTTCATCATTGATATTCACTTTCAACCCTTATATTTTCCTTCCATGTCTTGTTATATGTGAACAATGTCCCCTTCCCCCTCTATTTTCTCTTTTGGAAATTATATGAAGAAGCTTCTTCCCTTTTCATTTTTAGGCATTAATCTTTGTACATAGGGGAGGTAACTGTTTAATATTGTTTTTGAGCTCTTTGTTTTACTGTAACAATGATCTTTGCCTCTAAAGATTTGTCTCCATTAAAATTTCTCCTTCATATATCCTTGTTTGTTTTAAGGTTGATGATTACCCAGCTTCATTTGCTTTATTTTTCTCGAATTTCAGTTGGATGTGCGATTTGGAGCTCTGAATGACTCAATAATTCACAGTAATTTTCCCAGTTACTCTCATGCATGAATGCCTGTTGAAGACCTTATAAATCTAGGTTCATAATGTTCCATTATTGTCCAGTTCCAGTGATGGAGCGAGTGGGAACTCTAACTAGGTCTTGCCATGTTCTGCTGGGTCCCACTCTTTATATCCTTCACTTTGTAGGCCTAGATTAAGTTGGTGATGGCACCAAGGACTCATGTTTTCAGAAACATGGATCATAGTATAGATTCTCATGTACTAAAATTCTTGTCCTTATGCATGTGCTTATTATGTTGTATGTGTGAATATGTACGAATATTTGCATATAAGCATTTGTGTTTTGGGTCATATGGATCTTTATAGTTCCTACTTTTTGGGGTAAACATCTTCGTAGTTCATATGATCCTTATTTCTTTCTGTTATTCTCCCTATTCCTTATTTTGTTGTATAAATAGATTCTCTTTATTATAGTGAACTGATAGATGTTAATATGAATTTTCAGTAAATGGCCATGACAGAAATTAATTGAAAGAGTCCCAAGTGGTTTGCACTTCTTTCAGGTGTGAATGAAGTGCACGGGTGTTTTTGTGATTGAAAATCTTCACAAAAGATTACATTGCATATTGTCTCTTCAGGTTAACCTTCGGTTTCTATTCATGAAAATTTCATTTTATGTTGTGTCTTCAGTTTTTAGTTCAAGTTTATAACTGGTCCATGGTTACCGGATTTGGGCAATCCTAGGCAGGCTGAGCTGGGAGAATTAGTGATATGCTTTCGGGCTATATTTTTCAGGGTGGGATTTGCATAAGGTGCCCTCCTTGTACTGCAGAAGTAAGGTACCTTTAAATTTTGCCAGTAGATTTCCTTGTAGATTCGGAAACCTTATGATGGCTTGAAAATCTATTTTTACTTGTTATAAAATTTAAAATTTAAAAAATGTTGTAGATCGAGTAGATCTAAGAACATTTGAAAATCTTAAAAATAGATCGTTCAGATAATTTGTTATAATAACATGCACTATTTTTAGGATTTGAATTTTTTTTTCCTTTTTTCCTTTTTTTATATCTATATATCTTTAGGTTAAGATGATCAATTGCAGCCCTTGGCACCCTAGTGGAGTTTTGGATGGGATCCAGGGCAAAATCATGTTGTATGGGATTACCTCCTCTTGATGCAGAGTGCAAAAGTTGGTTAAAGTGCAAAAGTTGGTTAAGGGGCAAACGGAGTTAGCAGGTTCAACGTCAAAGTAATAATATTTGGATAATAATTCTATAAGCCAAAAGGCTCATAGTCAGGATGACCCAAGTTCATAGAGAGGTGGCGGACTTGACGGCTGCGAATGGTGGACACATTGTGCCTCAGATTCTTAGTGTATTCATTTTTCTTTATTTTTATGTGAAATTCCTAGATGAGGTGTATGTTAGAGCTTTAAGTTTATCTGAAAGACACTTGCCATAAAATACAAGACACTACACCTACTCTTCATATAGATATTTATTGTAGTATACACCTTCTATACCTTATAGAAAATATGTGCTTTCCTTTACCCCCATCTCGAACTCAAGATGCTTTAAGAGAGAGAAAGATAGCCTTGGAAGATTAGAAAATAACACCACAAACCCTATTAGAGATGCCGATTTGATAAGCTGCCTTCATCAAGAAAAGCCAGTTTGAGAAGATATGCCCAACTTTCGAGGTAAGAGAAACTTGAGTTTGAATTTGAGGGAAAATTTGAGGGGTTTCTCTGTAGTTTGAAATTGTGATGTGAGTCCCTTTTCTCTCCTGATTGATCCATGGCAGCTCCAAGCCCCAATTCAAACACCAACACTCTGGCTCTGGTTTCTTGAGCTACTCTTTGAGCGCTCTTGCACTGAAGATGAACGAGGCTAAGCGATCTGCTGAAGCTGTATGATGTAAAAATGTACTTTTTTTGCTTTTTTTTCCTTTTAAGAGGATCTGCATTCAGATTTGGAGTAGTTATGGAAGTATAAGGCTTTTCTTGTCAATGCTTGGCAGGCATTCACAGAGTTATTTGCCATTAGTTGCAACTCTTTTATGCATCCCAAGTTCTATGTTCATGCCCAATTGTACCATTTGCAGATTTTGAAGGAGAAACCAAAAAGAAAACAGGAGAGTAACACTTCTCATGTTTTAGCCTCTTGGAGAGTAAAAGGTAGAGGTCTGCAGAGGAGAATGAGAAGCACAAACCGATCAAAAAGAAGGCGACGAAAACCACAAGAGTCTTGGAAGAATGAGATACTAGCAAGAGAAGCAGAGAAAGACTATTTAAAATCAGGACATCGGGAAGTAGAGAATTCCAGAGAGTACAAAGCAAAGGAGTAAAAGATCCAAGATTTCTTAAACATGCACCAGAAGGAAGGAACTTGCACGTTTGGCTATTTTAAATTGCTGTAAAATTTAGGGGTGAAAGATTAGGCCGAAACTTGGAAATGGAAATTGACCTGTCCATGTGGCTTTGATTATGAGTTGCTCAATAGAATCGATGCTCGGAACGGTAAAATCCAAGCTTGATCAGCAAGCTTTAGGAGCAGAAAGCTAGAACAGGCCGGGCTCGAGCAACATCAGATCCAACCCTTAGGAATAGACGGCAAGAATAGGTCGGTCAGGCATGAGCGACAACAAATCAATAGGCTTGAACAATGTACCAAATGTTTGAGATCTTCACTAGAGATAGAAAAATAGTCAAAATTGCTGAAGGAGCGAGAAGGGGCTTGAAAGAGCCGAGACAACTGGTTTCAAATGGTGCTAATCTAAAGATAGATTCAGAAAGTTGATCAAAGAACCTCACATTGTAGAGAGAGAATATGAGAGGAGGGAAGAATGAGGTTGGGTTTCGAAGGAGAGAATGTGATCGACGGGAAGGAGTGTAGAGAATATGAGATGAGACAAGATTTTGATTGGGCTCTAGAGAGAGAATGTGACAGTGGAGAAGAACATGTTGAGTGTGAGAGAATGTGAGAAGATGGAATATTGAGTCGAGTTTTCAGAGAGAGAATGTGAAAGAGGAGCTTTAAAGAGAGACAAAAGGGTGCGAAAAATTGTGCAAGATGAGAAAAATAAGACTAGGAATTAATTTTTAAAAGGGGGCAAAACCAATGTTGTTGGATTCGTTTGAGAGACTTTTTCGGTTTGGCAAGAAAAATGAATCAGTTCATTTTTTCGATCAATTTGAGGAAAATTTCAGACTTTATTTATTATTATTATTATTTTAATTTAATAGAAATAAATTAAATATTTATATATAAAATATATAAAAATAATGGAAAAAATTAAAAATAAAAATTTCAAAAGAATAAAAAAATACTTTTATATGGATATTTTTTTGCTTTATAGCTAAAGAGGCTGAAGCTTTGGCCCGAAGCAGATCCGAATCTGATTGAAGCAATTTGAAGTGGCTTGAATTTGATCGAAGTGGCAGCATTAGGCTTCGCTTCGGTTCGGTTTAGTCCTAAAATATGAAGTCCTTGGCCGGAGCGACGTGGATTTGACAACAATAGGCCAAACAATCAATTTCCCTCTACAAAAAGGAGAAACAAAGTCAAAAAATAACTTTCCGAACAAGTCCAATGTCTTAAAAATAAATTCTAATGGTGTTTTTTTCATTAATAAACCCCTATTTTCTATATTCTTTTAGGTGTGGCTTAGTTAGGTAGGAACAACTTCAAATTTTTACTTAAACCCAAATAGAAAATATTAAAATTAAAATACAATACTAAATCACGGCAATCTATGGCCTTCCTTTTTAATCTGGACCGTTTAAAAATGCTTGTGCAACAATTGATTATTTATGTCGATGCCATACTCTCCAACTTTCTATAAAATTAATTCTTACAACTTTAATATAAGAAACATGTAATATGGTCTGGCGTGACACATTCTCTTTACGCTTTGCACATGCATTTTTTATTTTAGCAAAATATGACACAAATAACAATCTCATTATACGAACTTGACACACCTTTGGCACGCCATTCACTATTAATTTGGAAGCAGATGCTTTTAATATGACAAGATTTTAGAATAACATATTTAAGTTTTTATTTAGAATAACATATTTAAGTTTTTATTTAGAATAACATATTTAAGTTTTTATTTGTTCTAATTTTTTGTGTTATAAAAGCTTGTCAAGCACCTCTCTCCACGTAACTTCCAGCTAATTTACGAGGCTAGATTCAAAAGATAAAAAATAAATTAGTTAGATTCCAAACTACAAAATATTTGTTTAGTGAATAAGAAGACATGGGATTAAATGGGAAGAGAACATGTTGAGGCATTGGGAGAGACTAAAGAGATATATTAATTTTGAATGAATTTTAAGCAGTATCTTATTTTGTTTATCATGTATAGCTTTTTTGTGTTGATCTTCTGTCATTTTTCATTTTGATAATATAAATATAGATGTTATAACTATGGAATAATATCATTAATATAATAATTTAAATATAATATGATACTTTTAAATAAAGGAAAAGAGGAGTGAGAAAGAATAATCGAGAGGCGTGGACTGCATAATTATTCTCATCAATTATCTGCCTAATATTTTAATGAGGTATTTTATAGTATTTTAATGAGGTATTTTATGAAATTTATAAATAATTAGGAGGAGCACCCAATTGAAGGAAACATTTTTGTTGGTAGTTGAACTTGTGTGGTTAAAATAAAACCACTTAAGCTCAAGCTCGATGTCTAATTTTTTAACCATTTAGGCTCAAGCTCGATTCGTAATTGTAACAAATTTGGATTCTATAATAAAAGTACGTATCCATTCGTAATTGTAACAAATTTGGATTCTATAATAAAACAACGTATCCAATTTAAATGAATTTTATATTCATGTTATTTCCCAATATTTGATTTGAAAGATATAAATTTCATATAAAGGTT